TCGATCATTGGTATCTTCATACCTAGTTCAATCTTGTTACCAGAAAGTCTCTTTACTCATTACGTAATACATCATCCCGCAACTAACTCATTAGTCACTTTGCTTTCAAGGCTTCTTATGATGTGTATTACCGAGAGGGCCCATAGATACCTCTCTGATACACGGAGTGACAAATCCTGATCTCGATCTATGCCAACCCAACAAACACCTCCGGGGATACCTGTAGAGCATCTTTATAATCACCCAGTTACGTTGTGACGTTTGATAGCACACAAGGCATTCCTCCGATATACAGGAGTTGCATAATCTCATAGTCGAAGGAATATGCATTTGACATGAAGAAAGCAATAGCAATAAAACTGAGCGATCATTATGCTAAGCTAACGGATGGGTCTTGTCCATCACATCATTCTCCTAATGATGTGATCCCGTTATCAAATGACAACACATGTCTATGGTTAGGAAACCATAACCATCTTTGATCAACGAGCTAGTCTAGTAGAGGCTCACTCGGGACATGGTATTTGTTTATGTATTCGCACATGTATTTAGGTTTTCGATCAATACAATTCTAGCATGAATAATAAACTTTTATCATGAATAAGGAAATATAAAATAACAGATTTATTATTGCCTCTAGGGCATATTTCCTTCAGGTGCGGCACTGCCAGAGCGTCTTGAACCTGAGATTTTGGCCGTGCAAGTGAAATTCCTCCCTCATCAAAGATTTCATCGTGTGTGCGAGGGTGGGTTGCTGCTGCTGCTGCTGGGATAGAGGCAAGTGGAGGAGACAACATATGTTGACGTTGACTTGGTGGTGCTTCTTGAGTACCCGGTCACGAGCTCCGGGGTGAAAATCCTAGGTTTGGCCCTACTTGGTTATTCCTTGCAATGGCGGCGATTTTACGTCGTTACCATGTTGATGGCATTGCTCGGAGTTTGCTCGGACATGAACTTCAGGGTGAAAACCCACGATCTAACTTTCAAAGGTTGGATCCGGCGATGGCGGCGCTTATGTGTCGTTCCCTTCTTGGAGGCGTTGCTTTGAAGAATCTTTTCATAGTCATTATGTTGTCAAGTGATAGTTGGTTTCCATGATTGTTCTCGTCTATCGTTGTTTGATCGCTTCAGGGTTTTTTTCTGCCAAAGCATAGCTTCGGTCTTTTGTGACTTTGCTATTTGCCGATGTGGGTTTTTATTTTTTTGGTGTTGGCTGTGTGCATCCTAGCTATGTAGAGGCTGGGTGTTTACTCATTGTGATTGTATCCGCTTGATGCTTCATTACGAGTAAATAAAAATGCCCTTTATCAAAAAAATCGTCAAAATAATCGTTAGTATGACAATTTTAGCCTAAAATAACACTCTAGCAAAGTCCTTGTATGGCTCAGCTCTCGGTCACCATATATTATGGATGTCGCTCCATAATAGACCTCGTAGCCTCCATATATGAAAGCTAGGGAGGGCCAGTGTGGAGCTCGCTCCATACCCCCAGCCTGAGAGGAAAGTTTTACCTTCTTTCTCCTCGCAGCACGAACGGTTTTTGAAGCTACGCGGCCTTTCACGCACCATGGGCGACAGACACCTAGGTCATTAATGCCACACCCTTGGATATGGCGACCCGTGCAACCCTAGCCACACGAGAGGGGGGGAGGGGGTAGGACCATGCCGCCACCGATGCCCGTTGTGCGGGCTTCGCCGGGGAGCACTCACCAATGGCGACGAGGAGGTGGGAGGTGGCGGTGGTGCAAGCCAGTCGGTCACGGGAGCGACATATGGCCTATTCCTTCATTCATTTTCTCGCTCTGGATATAACACACACACACACACACACACACACACACACTTGCATGCCACTACTGTAGTACTCATACAGTGTTAAGATATCTTATATGGTGCTATCTCCCAAAAATGTGATTAGTTTTTTTTTTCATCCTTGCTTGTATCGATTGAAAAGGGATATTAACAATTAATCTCTACTCCATTTCCTTGTCGTGGAACTATGCCTCCAGCAATGATAGCTCACTTAACAAGCTAAGGGAAACTCCAACGAAGATCACCAGATCATCCCTAAATGTTTGAATCGGATTGTCCGGGCATTTTTTGCCATCCAACGCCGGGCATCAAATTTGTTCAGACCGTTGTAGATATCTGAAATCTCACAAAACAAAACAAAACATATGGGAGGTTTGCGGACGTCCAAAACTCCGTTACATCGGACTCCAACATGCCCGACCCATCCAAAAAACCCACCTAGAGCCCGAACATTTGAACATTCCCACCACAACCTTCGCCTCGATCGTCACCTCCCCCACCCCATCATTCGGTCGTCCATCGCCAAGATGGAGCCGCCTCTAGTGGACCTGGCGGAGACGATCTTCGTCCCACTAGAGTCAGAGGACCCGATGGTGGTGGACGCCCCAAGGCAGAAGAAGTCGGTGCACCGGCGGCCAGTCAGGGCAGACCTCATCCAACAAAGCACGCTACCACCCTGGTGCCGCGCCGAGTAATTGATGATGTGGCCGCCCCAGCCGCAACCGCCCTACTACTATGCCTTCCAACACCATAGACCGTAGCAATCGCCACAACAATTCGTGTTATCACTCACCTCTAGCCATCAAGTCTCATTTTCCGTCGACCTCAACACTGACTACGTCTTCATGGAGTCGCAATCGCCGGGGCTTGTCCGGTTGTGAATGCCGATGGTGAAACACGTGTCCGTCGGTGCCCATTCATTGTTTGCCAGAATGCCTCGTCCAAGCGGGACGATGATAGATGATGAGGCAATGGTGAACATTATCCATGACGGAGGCAGCTACGAATATGAAAACTACTGGATGACTCCCAGCCAAAGGAACAACCGAAGTCAGACACCTTGCAACCGAACATGGATCCGGAGGAGCACTGGCCGCCTGGTGCTGACCCAAAGAATAAGCAGGTGGGACTTAATTTCTTCCCAAAGGAGGATGGATTGGTGTGTGAGGCATGATTGGCCAGTTGTATCAATCCGTTCAAGGGTACGGAGCAAAGGGGTGTGACGTTTTGCCAAAGCTTGCACACTTGGTTTCACAAGCAAAAGTACTACGATCCCAACCCCGCAACAGTGATCCACCAACGCAATTTGATGTTGTTCACCCATCGATGGTACAACATTCAAAAGGTCGTCAACAAGTTTTGCAGTTGTTACAAACAAGTGAAAACCGATGGCCAAGTGGCGTCGGAATCCAAGATCTCGTAAGTTTTGTTGTTTGTTGCTCTATGCATTGGTCATTTTAGTGATTTTATAAATGTTGCACCTTGTTGACCATCCATTGTGTTTCTTTGCCAACCCGTACCTGCATTCGTTATACCACAAGACCACAAGATGGAGAAGAATTACTTCATCTATATGCATTGTTGGTTGAAGTTGAATGTGCATAGCTAGTGGATCGACATGATTGTAAATTCCGTCAAGATCTCCATGGTCACTGAAGATGAAGGTGGTGATCCAACCGTTCAAACACAAGAAGGGTTTGCTGCGACCAATAAGGTGATTAGAGACCCGGGGAGGAGGAGAAGGAGAAGGGGCGGCGGCCAAGATGATGGAGGAGTTTGATGACATCATGGCTAAGAAGGAAATAGGCAAAGAGGTTTTGCATCTTCATAGAGATGCAAGACAAGAATCTCAACCTCCAAGACAAGAAGTTTGAGATTAAGGCTGCTTCAGAGGACTTCAAAATGCTTCGTGAAGACGTCAGACTTGGTCTCGATGCATGAAAGATCGTCCAAGCCTATCGTGCGCACATATTGAAGCACTTCACGGAAAGGGAGGAGGCTGGACTAGGCAAAGAGTGGGTGCCTTTTCCATGGACAATCAGGCTAGGACCCGAAGAAGGAGCTCATTGGCACAGACAACCGAACTAGCAACTTTGGGTTCGATTGGATGTAAAAAATTACTGAACATCCAAAGTCTTTTTGTTGTGATTGCATATGTTTATAATCTATATGCTTGTCAAATAGAGAAGGTCGGATCAGGGACGGACATTTGATGACTTTGGCCAGATGGCCTCCGCCCCTATTTCTATCGGCAAACACCTGAGGATGTTCATTTGGTGAACCGTGTTGGAGTTGCCCTAACCCCACCCGCAGCGGCAGGGCCAAACAGCTCCCAGCCTCCCACACACACAGGCTGCCAAAATCACCAGCCCAGTCACTGGAGGGCAGTGCCCAGCAATTGAGCGCTCGGTTGTCAACTTGTCATGGTCGCAACCAGAAATGCTGTAGCATTGGTTCACGGCCGGAGCGGTCCCTGTATCAGCGTGTCACTGTAGGTGTCGTCTCAGCAGTAGCTAGATGGAGACACGGACGATCTCTCTTCTCACGTGTCGGCTGGAACCGGAGAGACTGATTCTCGTTTTCCGATTTTCCTGGCTGAGAGCCGAGAAGACTGTTGCCGAAGTAAAATGTTAACCCGACGAATCGACCTCGCCATGCGTCACCAACGTCTTCTCACACCGCAGGATAAGGATGAACATGAATTTTCTTTTCTTTACGATTAGAGATTCTTCTAAGTAGCTGTCGCATCTTGCAAACGAATCCCATTACGGCACAGCATTGGAAACGCATCAACCAAAAGCATCATATGAGGGCGAACAAAAGCGCACTGGAAGAGCAAATGCAAAGGGTGCGACTCCCGGAGACTTCTCCACCGATCCCAAAAGGTTTCTCTCCTTTTTACTGTGGGGCGCTTGTGGGATGAAACAATTTGCTCATGTGCGGCTATCAATCCACCAAGCAGCCACGTAAGTGGAAGTCCACACGGCAGAACGAATAGTGATGGTACAATTCCGTGGGCCGCATGCCACACGCACCACAAGCTTTTTCAGTGAGAACCAGATAAATTAGCGTGACAAACAATCTTTGAACGCTAAGCTACCATGTGATGTTCCCCTTGAAGCTTTCGATGTTATTGTCGCTGTCATCGTCAAAAAAGTGGGCAGATTACCCAGGGCCAGGGTAGAAGCTCACTTGATCTTAAATCCAGATTTCAGGTCAACCACATTCCAAATATTTGCAGCCAGATTCTCCGCCTCTCCAGTGTAAGAGTGTGGTGTTAACTTCAAAAGACTTGACTGCGCATCCTCCGGCAGGTCAAGACCTTCAATGAACTTGCGTATGCTGTCTTTGGTTACAGCCTGGCCTCTAGTCATTTCCTTCAGTTTCTCATAGGGTTCGGGGATCCCATACCTTCGCATCACCTACAGAGGTCAACGATAAAATTACGATTTGCCTCGCAGCAGCAGCAGCAAAGCCTTTAGTCCCAAACAAGTTGGGGTAGGCATGATTTGCCTCGAGTGAAAATAATAATTGTTTTGGCTTTGACCACTTGAGAATACCACTGCAGGCTTAAATAATAAACATAGTGGTGTATTTGCCTAAATGCCATACTGGGGCATGATCACACAATAAGCACCTAATCTAGTCACTTTTTTGACAAAGTAAAGTATCTCAAGATCCATACAAACTTCATAAATATACTAGCCTAACAAACTCCATGCAAGCATAGCACAATCACAAATCAGACTGAAGGGAGGATGAACAGAACAAAGCAAATCTTACAGTCTGTATTGGCTCTGCAAGGACTTCCCATGTTTGCTCCAAGTCCTCATCCAAACGGACTTTGTTCACCTGTACCACAACCAATTGGGCAAAACAATAATGAATCAGCAGATATAACCTAGGCATCTGAGGTTACTGATAATTGCATACTAAATGTAACAAAAGTATTACTCCCTCCAATCCATATTACTTGTCTTTGATTTGTCTAGATACAGACACGTTTTAGTGTTAGATTATGATTTGGAGTAATATGGATCGGAGGGAGTATATATTTGGTTCCATTTTTTTGTGTAACTACTAAGTAATCATAACTCATAAGTAACAGTTAGGTAATATCCAAAATACTGATCGGACAAGGTTTTAGATGCAGAAAGATTCGAAATATTAACAAGGTCTGTCATTATTTATGCGTCTATGTTCAGAACGATATTTCAAAAAATTATATCAATTCATACATGTTGATGTCCTGTTAGAGTATAATAGCGTCTTAAAGAACATAGTCTCCTTTCATTTGTAACCAACAAACATTCCAAAATTTAGATTATCTGAATTCAGCCAAATAAACATCATTCAAGTACCTCACAAATTGCAGTTCCATGCTTACATACCTCCGTCCGGAATTACTTGTCACGGAAATGGATAGAAATGGATGTATCTAGAACTAAAATACGTCTAGATACATCCATTTCTGTGACAAGTAATTCGGGGCAGAGGGAGTATCGAGTTATATAGGGAGCAATCGTCCAGTGGAAGGCCTTACGG